CTTATTGGTTATATTGGTTGTAAAGGTACTGACGAACAAGAAAACTTATTTAGTGAGGACATAAAAATAGTTTATAATATTTTCACAGGATAAAAATATATTATGATTTTATAAAATACATATTTTTATAACAAAAATAATTAAAATACCTAATTCTCTATAAATTACCATTGTTTTATTTTACAAACAGAGCAACCATTTCTCTATTTTCTCTTTCCGTTTGAAATTGATTTAAAACATGTATTTGTGATTTTTGTGTGACTTCTTTAAAATTAAAAAAAAAAACACTAAAATTAGGAAGGGTAAAAGAAACATAATTAGCACTATTTTTTTTCGCTCTTGTAATTTTTTATATTCATTAAAAAAAAGGTTTTTTGAGGATAATTTTTTTATTAAAAACGTTTGAGTAAAAAAGGAATCTACCCGCAGCCCTGAACGTGAATCTGCCCGTGCCAGAGGAACAGTAAGTTTGGTTGTGATTCATCAATCATGCCAGTTTCGCCATTACATCACTTTATTTGTGTTTGCCGTTAATAGGTCCATGCAAACTCTTCTATTTTACATATATACTTTCACGTATACGCGATGCTTCACAATTTTTTTTTTTTTTTTTGTATTCGTGAGTGTTGCAGTGTTCTAGGAAGGAGACACACAAAGTGTGATGAAGAAGAAGAAAGAAAAAAAAAACTAAAATAAATATTTTCTGAAATTAACCAGTTTCTTACGTTATGAAACAGATTGCAGAATTATATTGTCAATATTTATTATTATCTCCATGTGAGGCGTGAGATCCTTTGAACATTAACATGTTCCTTAGTTAAAGACCTAATGCCGTTTTCGGTCTTTTAAAATGTTCTATTTTTTATTTTTTATTTTTAACCTTGAAAGTCAATCATTTTTGTCTGGAAACACTCAAAGTTTAGTTCTTAAATCTAATACTTTTTTTCTTTCCATACAAAGGTCAAAATATGTGTACTTCTAAATATATGGAGACCAAAATTAATATTTTAAAAGTTAAAAACAAAAACTAAAATTTTAAAATTTATAGAGAAAGTAAAAATATCATCACCCTAAATTAAATATTTTTTTCGAGTTTAATCAGAGAATATAACTTTTTCCATGAAGTCTATAAATTAAATAATTGCAACAAGGAACAACGTGATTCACTAACCTTAGGCTCCTCGCCAAAGAAAAAAGAAAAAGAAAAAGAAAATCTTACATTAATTGCTTGCCACGATGCCATCAAACACAATTTAATATTAACCCATGGACAGTTTTTTTAAAAACCTATGTTGACTTGTTAAGGTCGTTTTCATATAATTAAGAATTCGAGATGGCTTGATGTTGACATGCCTTATCCCACTGTGTCCGAAATCATGTGATGCTAATGTAGTTTAATATTTTAGTTTTTTAAGATACGGCAACATTATTTATTATCTTAGTGCAACAAAACAAATATTTATTTTAAAAATAATAAAGACATCTTGATAATATTAAATGTTGGGTATTCTAATAAACTGTTTTTCACTTTCATATTTTATCTATTTGTATAAGTAGCACGTAATAATTTTTTTTTAAAATCAACATGCATTTAATTTGTGGATAATGCTTAAACCGAATCTTTGCATTACTTTAGTTGTGTTTGAGTTTACTTTGTCTCAAATTAGATTGAAGAAACATGCATGCGTGTTTGGTTTTGAGTTTGTTAAAAATTAAAGTGAATCAGATGGGTAAATAATGTTTCTTTGTGCCTAGCAACGAGAACGTGATTGGTTCGAAATGAAAGTATTTTAGCTTCAACCGATGACAAAAATAATGATTAAGGTTAGGTATACACACCATTTGGTTCATCGTTTGTAGTCCACTATGGATAAGGATAACCAATCATTTTGTGTTGCATTTTCCTAACTATTATAATATGACAAATAATTTTATAAAGATTAAAATAATAATAATATTTAAGGTAATTTCGCAAAAATATAAATTATCTTTTAACTACTTTTTCTTATTCTCTATAAAAAAAAATTAAGATAACACATGTTATAAGATAAAGAGAAATAACTTTAGACCCTTTAATAAAAAAAATTGTTTAATTTTAATTATTGACTTGAATTGTAAGGATTTCATTTTGTTTTTTTTTTCATCTTTACAAGATTTTATCTATACTATAAATTTTATCTAGGAAGAGAGAGAAAAATGATGACAACACATTAAATGACATCTTTCTAACTGCAATAAACGTTTTTTTTGTTCCTTATCAAACCCCCTTTTATTTATCCTTTTGAACAAAATTTTAGGAAAAGGAACCATGTTTTAATCTAAGAGAAGAAACTTTTAAACTAAAATTACCACTCTCAATGAATAGGAAAAGTTCTTTACTCTCAATGAACCCTCCTTGATAACTTCATTATGAGAGATTTCTCACCTTATTACTCTTAATTCTAACTAGTAACTATGAACTACAAGAAACACCCCTTACAACCTTGAGTGAATAACTATAACTTAGAACCTACTAAGGAAAAGCCACTATTGAAATCATTAACCCAAAAAAGTAAAAGTTAAAGTAACTACTTTGAATAATGGAGATATCACAAATTGAAGATCATAATAAACTTATAATTTATTATGTTTAGTTCACTGATTCAACTTTTTTGTATGAACACACGTCTTTTAATATTTTTTTCCTACTTGTCAATTTCTATTTTTTTAATCCATGTTCATCCACCTAAGTACTTTTAAAAAACTTGTATTTATAATAGGCAAGTTAACTTAAGAAAATAATTTTAATTAGACTTTAGAAGTTAATCTTAGATAGATTTATCTATTAATAAAATAATCATCTTTTGATTTGTTTTCAAAGATAAAATATAATTTTTATTTTTAAAAAGTAATTTTGTCATATGTAGTATCATTGAAAGCAATATCTTTATCAAATCTTTAATAAAAAACAATTAAGAGTAACATTTTCGACCTCAAGGAAATTAATTCCTTTGATAGGAAATTGATTCATTTAAAAAATAAATCATTTCTTATGGAAAAAGTTATGTTGAGTAATTAATTCTTTTTAAGCATAACTTTTTTGCTTGTGGGGGTTGATTCTTTTAGAGAATCGATTCTCTTGGCTAAATAAACATTTTCAAAAAAATAATTAACATAAAAAATCTAAAGTTAAATTTAACTCATCTATTTGATTACTTATGCTTAACTTAAGTTAATTAATTTAAGTGATTATAAGTCTTATAATCCTAATGATTTACTCACATACAAGTTGATCGGTCTTTATAAGATAAAAAATATCAAATTAACTATGAATATTTTTCTAAAGTTTTTGAGTTCTCTTGAAAGCTTAATCTCTTTTATCTCCATCATTCTTTATTAATACATGTTATTATCATAACTTTTATAATGGTCTTGCTTTATCAACAGTAATCTTTAATTGTACCTACTAATGTATTACTCATTTCTTTTAGTTTATTTATTATTTTACTTTTTTTTTTTTTACTTTTGTCCATATATTTTTTTAATTTTTTTATTTATATAATTTTACAAATTCTTTATTTTTCATTTTTAGGAGTATCAAATTGGGTCCACTCGCACAATACAAGTTAAGTTATATTTTTTAATTATCTAATTCACATAACCTAACCTTCATATAATCAACGTGACAAGTTAAATGACGAGTTAACATAGGTTGATCAATTGAGTTGATTCATTTTATCCTTTGACTTTTTGTTATGAATGTTGAGCTATGATATTTTATTTGTGATTCATTTTCTTAGTAAGATTATTTGTAATTGTATTGTATACTTATTTTACTATGATAAATGCACTTATTGGTACTTGTATTGAGTTTATTTTATTGTTATTGATGAATTTATTTGTGAAATTGTAATTATATTATTGATTTATTTTAATGTTTTTAAAAAACTTATTTTATTATTATTGGTTGACTTATTAAGTACACGTTCTCTTAAATATTTGAATTATTATTAGATTTTTTTATATCTATTAATTATATTTAATTATAAAATATGAGAAAAATTCAAGACATACTAAAAAATAATTTATATTTTTGATGTGTGAACTATTACTTTCAATTTAATAAAAACACATTTAACTCAACTTATTAATTCATTCATTGATGAGTTGAGAACAAATTGATTTAATTCATTTAACATTTCTATTTTTTTTTAATTTTTTTACTGTAATAATGACATGATGTTGACATTGTTGTTGGTATATATATATATATATATATATTTATTTATTTATTTTCTATCGTCAAATTATCATAACAATATTAATTGATTAGCATGATATAATATCTTATTAACTTATCAGATGACAATATAATTTAATATCTTTAGAAAAAAAATATTTTTAGTTTCTCTAAAATTATTAAAATTCTTTAAATTTATTTATCCTATTGTAATTTTTCAATTTTAAAAATATATCACTTTTAGTCCTATATACGTTAGATATCATTTAAAAAATTTATACATTAATTTTATATATCTTCTAATCACAAATAATTATATAATAAATTTATTCATTTTTATAATAAATTAGATAGTATTTAAAAATATTGAAAGAAATAATATTTAAACTATTTTAGAGATCAAAAGTAATACATTTCAAAATTATTAAAATAGAATAAATTTTTTTAAAAAATTAAAATCAAACTTAATTTTTTTGTTAAAAATCCTTATTTTTATAATGTGATATTTTGTTGGTGTCATCAAATTTTATCATTGTCATCAGACAATCCTATATTATTGCAATGAAATTTGAGCATAGAGAATAGTTGAAAAGTTAAAGAGAAGGTTAAAAAAATAAAATAAAAAAAAAAAGGATTAGGTAGCAGTAGAGAAGTTCGTATCCGGTGGGCAAGCCGCGGCGTGTGGAGCCACATTGGGGAATATTTTATTTTATTTTATTTAAATTTTTCTAAGATATTTTATTATTATTCCTTAATGGAAGAACCTTGATAGAAGCCACTCTTCATGTTTCTCTCACTCTGACTCCTATAAATTAAAACAGCATTCTCTTTTCTTCATTCCTTCTTTCATTCATTAATCGTTCCAAGCTTTTCAGGACTTGCACTTATTCCACCCTTCTTCATCAAGCTATTCCTTCTCTTCCCCAATTTTCTTTTTGTAAGTACTCTCATGCTTCTCTCTCTCTCTGCCACTGTCATGGGGGGCTTGCAATTGGATTCTATTCTTATTTGTTTATATCCTTAGGCTATTGGGTTCATCTGGGTATTGAAATCTTCAATTAAAAAAATGTTTTTTTTTCCCGAAATAATCGAGGAAAGCTTTGTCTTTTACTTGATCCTCTGCTTTGGGATTTCTTCATAGTTTCCTATACATGGTCATGTGATTGATGTCCTTGCCTAATATGTGCAATTCGTCGTTTGTTGGAGGGCACGTAATTTGAACTTTCCTTGCAGAGGTTTATGTTGAAAGCTGAAACCTAGTTTTCACTTTTCACTTCTTTTGGACCCTTTCATGTTCAAAATCATGGATGTTTCTCATGATATTAATTTTTTTCTCAATATTTCTGTGGATTGCTCCTTGGTCCATGTTTTTCTGTGTAGGGTCCACAGTTTATTGGAGAGAGATTAATCGCCGTTGGAATTTCTGAAAATTTCCCTAGGAATGATTTAGTCAAATGGTTTTTATGTTGGAAATTGTTTCCTCTCTCTCACTGAGATTTTCCATATTCATCTGCTTCCCTCATAATTTTTTCCTATATAGGAGCGGTGTTTATTTTAATTGTAGGCTCGGTGTTATCATGAGAATATTGCGTTGACTTGGCTACTAATATTGTTACCTTCCTCCTCCTAAATAGTTTTATGGTTATTTGTTTAGTAATTAGGTGGGTAAAATGGGTCGTTGGTCCTGCTTGACAAATAAAGATGGAAGCCAACTAGCTGAATAACACAGTTAAATTATGACAGTCCTCTTTTTGCTTTTGTTGGTTTTTTTCTTGTTCATGCGATTAATGAAAACCAGTGACTGTAGACACTCTTGAGTATTTACTCTGAATACTTTTTTACTTGAAAAAGCATATTAAAATTGTGGGGGTTATTTTGAAGAGTAATAAGTATATGCACCGACAATGTATATATTTAATTTGTTGACTTACACAATAATTATTTTAATGTCATGACAATGGATGATTTCTGATTGGTTGAACATGTATTTTTGACATTGTATAGAAATTGAACTCTGTTTCTAACTGCTCTGAAGAAATTAAACATTTTTGTTAGGTGGCCATCTCCGTCAGAGCTGATTAACTTGTTAATTTGACAAAAAAAAAATGAATCACATGATGTTTGTGTTATAACAACTGAAACATTAGTTAGGTGAGCTGATGTTTACATTCTGTTCACCAATCAAAACTGGTTGTACTCTCTTAATCGCTTTGTGGTGGAGAGGTTCTAGTTTCCCTCAAACAGGATTAGTAGGGGATAGAGAATTGAAGGTTCCAAATCAAAATTCACACTGGTTGTCTTGTGGTGTTGTATGAAATTTTATGACATAACATGAAAGTCTTGTTCTGAATGCAATTTTGCCTTTATTTAAACTTACAGTTTCAAGTATTTTCCCTTTATTATTTTGTATACTTGTTTTGAAACTTATTAGATATTGACAAAATTTCTTTATGGAGGAAAGAATATCTATTAGCAGATACTTACAACATGTATACTTTTGCTTTTCTGGTTCAGGCACTCTTCAAAGAACACTTTGCAAGACAAAAGAGAAATGGCCTCAGACCAGTATTTAGAGGAGGATGTTCCCCAATTAGATTCCTTCGAAGATAAATCATCTCTGGAAACATGGAAATGTGCCAGTGATGATACTGCAGATTCTGCTGCTAGAAATGCTTCTACTGGCTTTGATTGCAACATCTGCCTGGAGTGTGTGCAAGATCCAGTGGTCACTCTTTGTGGTCATCTCTACTGCTGGGCCTGCATTTATAAATGGCTTAATTTCCATGGTGTGTCTTCTGAAAATGAAGAGAAGCAACAATGTCCAGTTTGCAAATCAGAAATATCAGAGTCATCCCTTGTTCCATTATACGGCCGGGGCCAAACTGCCGTACCTTCTACCAAAAGCAAGGGCCACCAAGTGGGGATTGTCATACCAAGAAGACCCCTTGGTCCTTCATGGATGGCTAGCTCACCAAGATCACTTGATTCTGCAACTGTTTCCCGACCTACTTCTCATGTTTATCATCGCCATTATGGTAATCATCCTCAATTCAACTCCATTCCAGGCAGTTATACTTCACCTGTGTTCAACACAGGTGGTTCACCAATAAATGCATTTGATACATCATATGGAGTCTTTGGTGAGATGATATATGCAAGGGTCTTTGGAAACCAGATGACAAACATATACACATATCCAAATTCATATGATGGTTCTGGGAGAACTAATCCAAGGATCAACAGGCATATAATGCAAGTTGATAGGTCACTCAGTAGAATCTGTTTTTTTCTCCTTTGCTGCATAGTTTTGTGTCTTCTCTTATTCTGAATGCTATTCCGTATTTTTTGAGCACTACATCCTAGTATAGAGTACAAGCAGTTTGTGGCTTCTGCTAGATGCACAATATATTTTAGAGAAGTTGTTCAATGGTGAGATATTTGTAATTAGGGATCATTTGGGTACATAAGTGTTTATTAAATAAATGCTTAAAATATAAGTGTTTATGCATAAGTTGTATCGATAATCCTCAAATAAGTTGGTGGTTGGTTTTGGTCTAATATGAGGTTGTGTCTCAACCTAATTTAAATTTTTTATTTTCCAAAAAAAAAAAAGAGTTGTATCTATAGTCAAAGAAAAAATTTAGTCAAACAATTGACTATTCTTTTTGGTATAAATTACAAATATTTTTTATTAGAGACAATCTTGTTCAAGTTGGAAAGGACTTATATGAATAGTAAAAACTTCCTTTGAGTATTTAACACAATCATTTTCAAGATTCGAACATGAGGGCTTTGATCATTTTGGAAAACTTTCATATCAATTGATTTATATTTGTTAGTAACCTAAATTTAAATAAACTATAAATATATTTTTTGAATGCACTTTTAGAATATGTTTGATACACACTAAGATACAACATAAGAAGAAACACAATACAAACAAAATAATATTAAAATTATTGTAATAATCTTCTTAATATTAATTATCCTAATATAATTCATACTAATGCTAGTGTTGGCCAATCATAACAATAGTGTTAAAAGCAACAACAATAATAGTGTTGGTAATGATGCTATTGGTTGTAGCGTGCCAGTGGATAATTGTATTAGTAATAACAACAATAGTTGTAATGTAGTTGTGCAGGTAATAATGACAATGATACTAATATTAGTGGTGTCAATGGTTGGTGGTAGATCAATAATGATAGTTATGATGATAAAAAAGCAGTAGAATCAAAATAAACAAAATATAATAATTAAATGAAAAATAAGTTTAATTTTTGTCTTTTAGATATTTTGTACTTGAGAAAAAAAATTATTCTACGAGTTATTGATTAACAAAAAGATTGAGTTAGGTATCTTGTTTTAGAGGTATTAGTGTTGTTACATGATCTTTTCTTAGGTGGAATTGGTGTGAGAACTTTCCTTTTTCTAAATATAGTTTCCAAATTGTCCCTATATAGTGCTTCATTTTTTCTCATTGTTGATCTCCTTCTCTTGCCACTATTATTCCCTTTCTTCTCATTGTTAACCTTCCTTTGTCGTTACCACCCCTAAAAGTACACATTGAAATTGAATGGCAAAATCGAAATTAGGAAGAGACAAACACAAAAGATTGAGAGATCATTGTCTATAAAAATATGAAATTGATAAAAATCTAGAAAAAGGATAATATAAAAATAATGATAAATCATATCAAAAAATCAAAGAAATTTTTAAATGCAAAGTTTCATCAAACCCCAATTTTTTAATTTTTTTTTTTTTTAGAAATTAGAATAAAAAACCCAATCCCAAAAGGGAAAAAAGCTTGCAAAAATTCTTGCAACTTGCACTTACTTCTCCCTTTATAGTCTCTTTCTCAAAATAGCTATGTTGTTGTGGTGTTGTGCTTGTGCTTGCAGTTTCTTACCCTTAATGCTTACATTCACAAAAATAAAATAAATTTTTTTATCGTGTTTTCTTGATAATTTTCCTCATCACCGTCACATTCACACATGAAGGAATATCCTTCAGCATTTCCTGCTGTTTTACGACCACATTTGACAAGAGTTTAAGTGTGTAGCCAAAAACACGTTTCAAACAGGGTTTGATTCAACTCATGGATGGTACCTTTACGATGGAGAGAGAAAGGGGAAAATTGTAAAGGAAAAAAAAAATTAAAAACAAATATAAACCATCTATTTAAAAATAAGAAGTCCTAATGGATAAAAAAAAACTTTCTTATGATTGGAGACTTCGTATCTTTTCTCACCCTAGCCTTCACTCTTTTCTTAAATCAAATATAAAATTATATTTGTTTTGTTCATTATTATAACTTTTAGCAAATCAAACAATCTCTTAGTGTTATTATTTGTTGGTTAAATATGTTTAAACTGCCTTGAATTAGTTCGATTTTCAGATTACTTGACAAATTTCTTTTTTTCAATTTAATATTTAACGTTAGTTTCCTCTAAGACTGCCATGTCATCACCTAACAGTGTCTGCCACGTCATCTAAGGGACTTCCACGTGGACATGGTGATGACATGGCAAACACTGTTGGGTGATGACGCGGCAGTCCATCTGTCACGTCATCACTTGACAGAGGGGGACCAACGTCAAGTACTAAATTAAATAAAAAAAATTAGTCAGGTATTTAAAACAAAAAATAATAAATTAATAGGTAGTAATCTAAAAACCGACCTAATTGGAGGTAGTAATCTGAAAAATTGACCTAATTGAAGATAGTAATCTGAAAACTGACTTAATTGAAGGTAATAATCTGAAAATCGACCTAATTGAAAGAGACTTGACTCTGCTACACCTTTTTATTTATTTATTATTATTACATATGATGGAAACGTAAAATAAAAAATAAAAAAAAAAGATTTGAAGTGAAAGTAACTAGAATTCCGTCTAAAGGAGACTTGACTTAGCAAATAAATTTTTAGTACTTCCATATAAGTGAAAGATAGAAAATGGAAGTATATATATATATATATATAAGTTAAATGAATATTTGTGGCATTAACTTTCCTATCTTACAAGTAAAACTTATAAGATTTGAAATTAATTTTTTATTTAAAAACTTATTATTAGTAAATATAAATATTACACACATATATATTATATAGCTACTGAGTTTTAATATAATTCCATAATTTTCTTTTTTTATAATCAAGTGCAATAGTTTCATACATGATCAATGAGAAATTAATTTATGTGCATTTGTTACTTTTGTTTCTAGTTACAAGTGTTTTATGTCTTATTAGTCTTATTAATCTTCACTTTTCTCCACTTCTTCATTGTCCACTATCTTTGTTGGAATTTTTGGTCCATTTTTTATGACAAACCAAATTTTGAAGTCGATAGATTGTATGAATATTCTCATACGCTCCTTTCACTCAATGTAATTTATGCAATCGAAATATGGTGGCCTCAAAATAGGTTGTCCTTCAGTGACAATTTTCCGATTACTACCTTCAATTAAGTCGGTTTTCAGATTACTACCTTCAATTAAGTCGATTTTCAGATTACTACCTTCAATTAGGTCGATTTTTCAGATTACTACCTCCAATTAAGTCAATTTTCAGATTACTACATATTAATTTATTATCTTTTGTTTTAAATACCTGACTAATTTTTTCTTCAATTTAGTACCTGACGTTGGTCCCCTTCTGTCAAGTGATGACATGGTAGATGGACTGTCACGTCATCACCCAATAGTGTTTGCTACGTTATTACCATGTGGTAGTCCCTTGGATGACGTGACAGACATTGTTAGGTGATGACATAGTAGTCCGTTTGCCACGTCACTATTTAAAAGTGGAATCTAACGTCAGATACTAAATTAAAAAAAAAATTGTCAGATAATTTTAACAATTTTTTTTTTTAAATAGTAATATGAAAATCGAGCTAATTCAAAGTAGTTTAAACATGTTTAAGCCTTATTTGTTTAATATTTTAAAGAAGTCACATGATATAGGAGTTTGCATTTAATTAATACTAGTTGATGACATAATAGAAGACATGATTGTCATGTCATGGTTTAACGAAGATGCAGAGACAAAAATTGTTAACAAATAAAAGTTTAAGGAGTAAAATGGGACAAAACAAAAATGTTGTTTAGAGATTAAAAATGAAATTAAAAAAATTAAAGTACTAAAAACATATTTAATCAATACACACTTGTTTTTACACAAAAAAATAATTTTACTTTATTATCCTAGAAAAAGTAATTATTCTCAATTCACTTAAAAAAAATCATTTCTAAACACAAGTCAATGTTTTTAACATCGATTCTTTTAACAGATATGATAGTTAGTTATATAACAAATGGTAAATTTAAGAAAGAAAATTGAAAATGTAGTAAATGATGCAACAAAGACAAATGGATTAAGAAAAACGATGTATAAATTGTTGTATGCATATAAACCTTTTCTATCAAAATTATTTCTATCAAAGTTCAAAACAATCAGATCGATTACCTTTAAAGTGAGTAAGAACAAAAGCATTTTGTTAACAAATTTTAATCAATTTAACTGGGATGGTATATTTGAAATTAAATTTTATCCTATGTTTGATAATAAAATAGAGTGGAGATAAGAAAAGCAAAAGGTGTATAGGAAACGCCAAATTAGTTGAGTCAGCCAAAAATAAATTTGAGTGGAGCAGAGAATAGAATAATATGATGTTCCCAATCCCAAACGCAAAGACACTGTCTTTCCAATTTTGGTCCTTGAAAAATGAAAAACATCACATTATGAAGGGACTGAAATGATTAGCATAGTCACAAAATATGATATTTTTTACTAGTTTTGGTCCATGAAAGGGACTTCTTGGCTTAATTATTTGAGTGGTTGAGGAATAACTTGTACTTAGCAAAAAGACTCGAAAACAAGTCTCCATCTTCAAATTAGATGATAACACGTGATTTTCACGTAATCTGTTTCTAGAAAGTTATAGAACTTAGTGGGAGAATATGTGGCTTTTGTTAAGTGTGGTTACGTATTATTATTGCAACATATCCTTTTCAAACTTTTGTTTCTAAGTTATGTATCACATTTTTCTACAATGCTTATTCGTAGCAATTACCTATCATCACCATCATGGAGAGGGTGTGGCAAATATTGGTGCCAAATGTTATAATTCAATGAGTTAAAGTATGGAGTTTATTACGTGACTGTGACCATGCATCTTCAAATTGAACTTTCTCACTATGTTACCAACTTATCATGTGAGGCAGCAATCAGCATCTATTAATCATTTTCATTTGGAACTATATCACCATGACTTTATCTCTCAAATGAAAAAATAAAATGACCCTAAAGGTAGAAAAACAGTTAAAGAAGAATACTATTTTTTAATTATATGTCCTTTTTTATTTTTAATTGAAAGGATAAGAAATAGGATAGGAAATGAGAACAAGTGATTCAAATTTGCATTGGTTATGTAGTTTATAATTAATTTATTGAGAAATATTAGTAATATATTTTTAGATACACCTTTTAAACACGTCTTTTAAATACGTTCTTTTGTTATTAGTTAAAATATGTCAAAGAATTGTAGAATTGCTAGTGATTTATTCCTTGAACTTCCACTCATGATTTATTTATTTTTAATCATTTCTAACTAATAATAAATAATATGTTAAAATAAGTAAGTTTTATTATTTATCTATTTTTTAATTATTCAATGCTTATAAAGTCATTGGAATAATATAATATTATATTACTTAATTAATGGTGATATTATAACTTTTATTTCTTTTAATAAAATATTATTCATTTACATGATTAAATATTTATTTTTAGAGGACGTTTGGTACATAAAATATTTTTATATTTCAAAAAATATTAAAAGAAATTTTTTTTCCATGTTTGATAGCTTTTTAAAGGAATATAATTTCTCGGAAGATATTTTTATTTCACTTTCTCACAAATACATCCTCATTTTCATTGGGGGTAGAAATCCAACTTTCCTGAGTTAAGAAAAAAGTTTTATATATATAAAAAGATCATGATATTTCTTTTTAAAACAGAATATATATCGCTTTCTATTTCTCTTTTTCTTTCTCTCTCCATCTTTCTTTCTCTCTCCCTTTTTCTTTCTTCCTCCCCCTTTCTCGCTCTTTGTCTCTCTCACTCCCTCTCCCCTTCCCTTCTTTCTCTTCTTCCTATATTTCTATTTCTCATTTTTCTTGTATTTCATTATTTCTTGACCTCGTTAATTTTTATATTATTAAAATATATTTTGTTTTTATATTTTAAAGGTATTTGTTAACATTATTTTTTACTTTTTTTATTTAAATAAAATAAAATAATATATTTTTATTATTCTTAATTATAATGTAATTTTTCTTTTCTTTTTGGTTGAATTTTATATTTAAATTATTTTAATAAGTTCTCAACTTTTTAAAATAGTTTAATATTATATTTGTAATAAAATTTAAGTATATATATGTATATAATTAGTTTATTTTAATAAAGGATATTTTTGTAAAATATATTTATAAATTTAGAAATATATTATTATAATCAAAAATGAAATTTTTTTTATTTTCAAGAATTATGTATAAATATTTTTACAAACTTTTACGAGTAATAAAACATATTTTAATTATTTTTAAAAAATTTAATATAAAAAAAACTTCTAAAATTCTGGAGTGTCATACAAAGATATTATTCAATGTTTATAAAAATTATTGGAGTAATATAATATTGTATTACTCAATTAATGGTGAATAGTATGATAGATGTGACTTATAAAAAAAAAAAAAAAGTATGGTAGACGTGAGCTTTATTTCTCTCACGAAAACATTTTTTATCCCCATAACTAAATCTTGGCTTTAAAGTAATGCAGTGTCATTATTTAATGTTTATAAAGTTATTGGAGTAATATAATATTGTATTAATTAATTAATGGTGAAAGTAAACGATAGATGTGAGTTTTATTTTTGTCAATGAAACATTTTTAATCCACACAACTAAATCTCGACTTTTAAATTTATGCAGTGTCGTAGGAACAATTTCCTTTTCAATTCACGTGCAGTTAATTGATTCTTCACATTTCATATATTGTCATATTCACCATTGTTTAAATAGCAGAAACTTGGTACCCTAGACAAAATATAACAAAATTTTGTACAGTAGGATCGATCAGTGCAATTACTTGACAGCTAGATGCATTTATTGTTTCATTTTCCAAGAAAAAAAACGAGAATACAGTTAAAATGTGAATTAAATTAATTATTTATAGACAGGGCAACTCTAGTCTAACATAAAAATCATTTTTAATATAGGACTGAGGATTTATTTGTTTATCGTTTTGATAAACAATTTCCTATTTTCAAAAATTTATGCCTCTTGAACATATTTAAAGGTATTTGTCCCCAAAACACATTTATGTTTTCTATTAGTCCATGTTATTAACACTTTAAAAAAAATTAAATAAACAACAAAGAGCAATTGAAAATATCTCTCAATTATTTTTATTTTTTTAGTTTTTGAAGCTTCAATAGATTTTATATGAAAAAATTGATTCTTGAATAAATACTCCATAAAATTATTTTAAAGAACAGTTTCAAAACAATAATTTAGATATTGATTAATTCTAGGTGAGCTATTTTGCCAAATCCAAATCCAATTTCTTACTTGAGAGAGGGATATGTTCCTTTCTATTTATAGACTCCTTCCTATTTAAAATAAAGCGTTTGAGTAACTTCAAGTTACCAATATTTCACAAAACTTGAATTATTATCATAAAGTGAATTTTTTAATGTTTAATAAAGCCTAATTTATATACCAACAAGTAGTCGATTCAAATGGTACAAAACTTGATTCTTCTTAACAAAGTCTTAGATTCAAGTTTTATGAATGAAAAAGATGTAGTTGAATGAAGAGATTTTAGTAAAAGTATTCAGTGTTTCCCAATAGAGATTCATCAAATGAATATTTTGTATCAATAATACAGTTATTAAAAAAATAGTCTAATTTGCATGAAAATATAGAGTTCACAAGAGGAAGAGGTACTATCATGCACATAGATTACTAGAATCTAGAAATAGAGAGCCGGTCTTAGCTGGCTTGGATTAATGGAATAATGGCTACAAACTTACAATTCTAACCCTCCTATCTAAATTGACTAAATGGTAATAAATATGATAGTGAATAAGTTAGGATGCTAATTCAATCACTGGAACATGATGGTGAAAGTAGCAACTGAGCCTCCACAAAACATTTGGAGGAAAACAAACCAGAGCTATCAGCCATGGCTAGTGCTAGATAATTTATTCCATCTCGGAAACAATTTAACACATCCTTTACAATAATGCAGTTCTGCTCACCTTTTAGATTCAACCATCAGTTCTCCCTTTCAAGAAGTTGAGTGTTATCAACTTCATCCATTTGATAATCTCCTTTAATAAGATCAAAGGGTTCTGTATCCGGAATTTCACTGTGAACATAACTTACTAGTCCATCATAGGAAGTGACTGAGATATGGCCTTTCTCTATGCATAACTTGAGAAACTCAAGTGCTAAATCCACGTCTCCTTTTTGTTTCAGGTATTTAATACATGCAACCAGAGTAAGGGGGCTTGGCCTCCGTCCTACTAGATTTTCTGAGACTGCTTTCTTCATTGCCTGAACTGCTTTTTCCATATCATTATCTGCGTGATAGCCGCATGCCATTCGGTCCCATGCTCTTCCATCTAATTTCTTGCCACCATCCAAAAGCCTCTTGATATAGGCCTCAGCCTTATCCACCCGACCACATTTACAATAAGCACTGATCATGAAATTTGGAATTCTGGCATCATAATTTTTATATGCAGATTCCCATTCTTCCAAAATCTTCTCTGCCCCATCAATGTCATCCAGCTTCACTAAAGAGCTTATCATATTTATGTAACTTGAGTTGTTGGGATTACGAACTATGTGCATATTCCAAAGTCGATAAACCTCATCCTTATTCCCAATAATAGCATGCGTAGTTTGAATAGATTCATAAGCAAGCCTCCTAGTCTTGCCTCTGGCTAAACGCTCTGATTTCTTCAACATTTCTGTGGCCTTAACAAAATTGCAAACTTTTCGATAACCATTTGCTGCAGTTATGTATATACGCCAGTCCACAGTTACCAAGGGATTAGCTTCCATTTGCATAACTAGCTTCTCCATCCCCTTTATGTCTAAGGCGGCCACATATGCATTTAACCGAATCATATACGTATAAATATCGCAGATGTCCTTGTCTTTCATTTCTTGTATCAACCTGTCCAATTTCTCGTATTTACCCATTTGAGCATAGAGTTTCAACATCATATTATAACATGCGGTTATATAAGCAGGTTGAAGCTCCTTAATTTTCTTCATGACAGCCTCCGCTTCCTCCAGAGACTTATGTTCAACATAGCATCCCAAAAGAGCAGCATAGATCTTGAACCCAATTTTAGCATCAGGGATGCCTCTAAAATATCTCTTTGCTTGTTCAAGGCCACGGACTCTTGATATCAGGTTGATGTGTTTAGCAATGCCTCCTGGAGACAAGTCATAGTTCCTTTCCTTGCTCATCCACTCCGAGACCTAACAAAACCATATTTCCTTGACACTAGATTTTTAAGGGCTGCAATATTACAAACTAAGTAACTAAAAACATATTTCCTTGACGCTTGTTTTTAAAAAGATCAAATGCAATACTGCAAAACTAAGTGCCTATTTGATTCCCTTATCACCTTCTGGTTTTAAAAACTGTTTTCTAAAATAATTCCACATTAATCACTAATCAACTTCTCATCTAATATCCATTAAATTTTAAAATTTGTTTTGAAGTGTTCAAAAAACCAAAAGCCAAAAAGTTGAGAGAATGTTCCTCATCTTCTATTTTCATCTTGTTTAACTTGTCTCTTAATCTCACATTTTGCTCTATGTTGCATGGTCGCACCACCCTCTAGTGACCAACCAACCTTGTTTAGTTACCTTCTAAAAACTAAATACGAAATTTGAAAATAGAAATCAAATAAACCCTAAGTAACTAACTTAGCACACAAGGATGAAAGCATTTTATGAGGTTACACACCAATCCAGAAAACAAGACATGAAAACCAACCCCTATTCCACTTCACTCTATTCCACCACTTTACCACAATCCAAACACAACCCAAACAGTCAATCAATCCATGAATGATGAAAAAGAGCTCCAAAATATGAATTGAATCGTGAAATTAGTTACCTCAAGGGCATGTGAGAAGCGACGAGATCGAGAGAGGAGGCAAACGAGATTGATGAGCTGAGGATGGGTGAGTTTTCCGCCTTCCTCCACCCATTGGTTCAGAATGGGACTCACTGCACTCGAAGGGTTCCCATCCTTCAACACGCGACTTTCAAGAGTCTCCACGCATTCCCTCGAGTGCGTTGCCAGAGACCCAAAACCAGAAACACCGAACGTTTTCACAAGTTTGCATCTTGATCCGATTACCATCATTCTCATGCCGCTCTCGATTCAACACTCGCCACTAACCTTCACTTTACTCAGTTTTTCTTCTTCCTACCTTTTCTCTTTTGGTTGCTACACAGGCCCAACTATAATCTCTTAGGAAATGGGCTCCAGGCCCATCCAGAAAATTAGTACACTGCTTTGTGCTTTCCATATAAACTCTTTGACATAGAGGCGATGTACACTGCTTTGTGCTTTCCATATACTTGCACCTCTTATATTTTTTTTCTGAGATTGCAATTAGTACTTATCTACTATTTAAATTTACAATGAGACCTCTTAAGTATTGATGTTTTACTTTTAGTCGTTAGTATTATAAAGTTATTATATTACTTTTAGTCGTAAGTTATTATATAAATTATATTTAAAATTTATATAAATAGATATTTTAAATATTTAAATTATATTTTAAATTTATGATATATAATTTATATTGTAATATAATA